GGATCAAGCTTGTTATTAAGGTAGACAGGTGCTTGTTTATATAATGAACTGGCTAAGAAGAAGCCGGAAGATTGTGGTCTATACTAGTGATATACAGTCCAGAGGCTATCATTAGACCTGATCACAAAGATGACAGGAAAACAGCTAAATATCTGCTGGGCCAGTGAGATTGGTTAAGTTCCTTTCCTTTAGCTGAAGTATCTACATACACAGGCATTGTTCCAGTCCTGAATTCACCATTAAGCAAAATACTGTAAGTACACGGTTAGGGCATCAACAAGGGAAAGGTGCACCACAGGATTTTTTCAGTGCTGGATTTACCATGCACTATGGTGCGAATGATGCACCCTCCTTAACAAACCACATCCAATCAGATCCCTCAATTCCCTCTATCCCACTAGAGCCCCAAGAAAACCACCTCCTTACTTAAGGTAATTGAGAATGAAGCAGTAAAAACTAACATGTATACTGTAAAGACTCACCTAGTGAGAAAAACTCATGTTTTGTGTGAAATGATTGAGTACCCAGCTCGCTGGGGGGGGCAATGTGTAGCCTGTATAATTAAAATTGTAAACCGCCCGGAGAGTGCTTGTAGCGCTATGGGGCGGTATATAAGTCCAATCAATCAATCAATCAATCAATCAATCAATCAATCAATCAATCAATCAATCAATCAATCAATCAATCAATCAATCAATCAATCAATCAATCAACAAACAAACAAACAAACAAACAAACAAACAAACAAACAAATAAATAAGATTAAAAAAGAACTGCTTGTCTTTTATACCTACGGGCTCTGCACTATATATGCAAACCAAAGAAGTAACAGCCACTGTTAAAAACCACCCCCAAAAGGGTTTTAAGCTCTTGTTTTGAGTTTTTCAGTTTACAAATTCTGACAAAATCTGCCTACATTAATCAAAGCATGAAAATGCAATTTTACATATGATTTTGCATATGACACGTCGTTCTTTTTTGGTCACATGCTATACAATTAAATTACCATATTTTCATGCATATAATGTGTACATTACATGTTTTCCGCCCCAAGCCCTGGGACCTGCCGTGTGTTATATTTGTAGGGGGCACCATAATCTTTTCAGTACTTAGACCCTCTAAAGTTCTTAATCCAGCCCTGCATTGTCCTTTTACAGGGACTGTCATTGTTGTATACTTAATAAGAAAGTATGGCCAGTGTCCCAGTACATAATATATCAGGAGCTACTCTGACAGGAGTAATGTGGTAGTATGTAAGTGTCAGAAGTTATTCTGACAAGTAATAACTATTTGATTGCGTTTATGCAATAAAGTATTAGCCTTACGCATTATGTTAAAGGCTAATAAATGAATAAGAGACAGCTGGACCAAACAATTGGCATCACCCTGACAACAACTTAAATAGATAAGAAGAACCATACTTGATCTAACTAAAAACCAGTTCAATCCTTCAGAAAAACTCTCATTTCTGAATATGAGATACTGCTTTTACATCCATGGTTTAAAATGTCAAGAAATTATCTGACGTTGCTTTGTAATAATATGTCCACATTGCCAACAGGGAAAAAAAATACCAAGCTTTACATAAGGAGGGCTGCATGAATCTTGTCAACAATCTTGTCAGTAGTCAAGACGGTCTACAGAATCCCCTCTTGTACTCAGTGCCATTGACAAACTGATACCAAGCAAGGGGAAATTGCAGAGTTTAACTCCTTTTTCTATCAGTTAACCACGTCTCACTCAAACACTAAGTAATTGTCATGGCTACTTTTTTATACAAATATATGTATAATGCCATTATGATATTCATGTGTTTTTAAAAATTCTTTTCCCAATTGCATCCAAACTAGAATTTGACTTTTTCTTACAGGAATCATGCACTAGGTAAGTGGCAGAGCTATATATCATAACCCCAAGATCTCTTCATTAGGGCTTCTCCAGACAGGGCAAAAGTATGTGTAAAAGTGTTAGTTTCTGCACTGTTTGGTTTCACACTTTTTCTGCTAACCTGACAATGCAAAGACTTGATCTGGTGTCTTGAGTGTCTTTTCCATGTTTGTCCCTCAGCTTCTTTCTGCTTTTTTGTCTTTTCTTCAGGTCACATTTCAGTTCGCTCTGAGGATTTATTCTGATTTGTTCTAGGGTCGGAGTTTAAACTCAATGGCACTTTCAGTCAGATGGTTATTTCCACACTAGAAATTTCCAATTACAAACATTTAATTACCCCACAAACAATGGTTCCAGAAATGAAGTTTCAACATGGATTTCAAAGTATTTTTGTAAAGTGCTTCCTAGATTTCCTAGAGAGAAGTGTTCTTTAAAAATGTAATTTCGAACAGTGAAGGCTAGACATATATCCAGGTAAGACCTCTTGCTACTAACCAGGACCAAGTGCGGCCAATTAGGTGGTACTTCAGCCTCTTCTAGATGTGTCTTTAGTCACTCACCTCCAGCTCAGACTCCATAAGTGTATGCATAAAATTTGGGGGATAATCATTGCCCCAATTTGCTTCACTTTTATACTTGCTTCCTTTGAAGCTGAACTATATTTGTCAGTTGGCTTTAAGCCACGTATATCACAAGCAACTCCAGAGATGGGTCTTTCTCAAAAGCATCAACAAAAAAATCCTTAGAAATAAGCAGAAATACTCTCTCTAGGCCTAGCAAATTAGCCACAGCTGCTTAGAAATGAATGGAGGGCAAGTGTGGGACTTGCGGGAGCATATCTTCCTGTGTACACCTACCCAATCATGAAGATTTGCTGGGGAAGCCTTCCTCTGAGACTGGCACACCATGCAGAGATGGATAAAGGGTTTTTTTCCCTTTCATGGTGGCATCTAAACCGTGGAATTCTCTTTTCATGGAGACTTGATCGGCACTGATACTGGTTTCATTTCAGTGCCAAATCAAACTATGGCTGCTCACTAGGGCCTTCACGTTTTAAGGAGATTGACTTGATAAAAATTTGAATGATATTTATTTAGTAGGTTTTCGATAATATGTTTGGCTTAATAGTTTTAAATGGTTTTAATAATCCTAAATGTTTTTAATTCTTTAAATATTTTTATAATCATTTCTATGTTTTGACATTTTTAAATTATTTTATTTGTTTGTAATAATTTTTAAATAATTGTATTTATTTCTATATGATATAGGATTGGGTATGCATATTCTAAATAAATGAAATAAATGTATTTTTCACATTAAGATGTGTTCCGCAAATGTTGCATATAGCTCACTCATTATATAACACACAGTGGTGGATAGCTCAGTGGCTTAGGTCTCTGGCTGCAGAGTCAGAGGTGGGAAGTTCAATTCTCCCCTGTACCTCCTTGACAGGGGCTGGATGATGATCCATACGGTCCCTTCCAGCTCTGCAGTTTAAAGGTTATTAATATTAATATTAGAATAGCAATTTTACTTTATACTTCTACATAAAATAGTCGTACCTTGCTTTTTCTCAATGGAGTTCAGTGTGGATAACAACAAGAATAAAATTAATAGTGTCAAACAACAACTGAAACCTTGCTGGAGAATACCTGCAAACAGAATATTAACTGTGCAAGTGGTTCCTCCATGTGGGAGGCTGCCCTTCGGAGGACTGGGTGCTCGACTGATTTTGCAGCCACTATGTGACTGGTGGCACGATGGACAAGCTACCAAAACAGGAAAACTGCTTATTTGATGGCACATATGTTTTTCTTCCAATGGGACTGTGGTCTAATGGAAAATAATTCCTCACTCTGCTTCCCATGAGAAGAGCCAGCGATGGTTGTTGTAGGTTTTTTGGGCTGTTTGGCCGTGTTCCTTTGGAACATGGCCAAACAGCCCGGAAAAACCTACAACAACCATTGGATCCCGGGAAACCACTTCTGAGTACTCTATACCCAGCCAGAATTGACTTACTGGTACATCATCATAATCATAATCATCATAATCATCATCATTGTTGTTATTATTAAGTACTTAAGGGAAAAAAGTCTTCCCACCCAAGCTTATTTAATTCTAATTAATTAAGAAACACTAACTCACAAATCAATATCTCCCACTTTCTTGCTAACCATGAAAGCCAAGTCTGTCTCTCTGATCCCAATTTGGCATACTTATATAGGTGTCAGGACACACCTTACTGTGACTGACAAGATTCCACATAACAATAATTCTGACAAATAATACTTTAAAACATGAAAATCAAGTAAACAGCAGAGCATGAAAAAACTATCAGACAATAACAACACAAAGGGCACAATCTTGGTGGGATGTTTTTGAGTGTGTGCTTCACAATGGTGAAGAGGGTCTTCCATACATGATGCAACTTCTGTTTGTTTCAATGGCAGCTGAAGAAGAGAACTTTCTTCTGGACTGCACTTAACCTTTTCCTGTATAATATACCTACAGTTTATGGAGATTTGTGCAGTTGTTCATTTACATGTTTCAATTCCAACTTGGCAGCCTTGGCCCAAAGAAGCACCCCTTTCAGGCTTTATTGTAAATTCATTTTTCACAAAATATAGTTGGTGAAAGGCTATCAGAGCCAAGTTGTTATGTAAAAGTGATCTAATGTCCCTGGACACCTAAGCTTGGGTATACCGTATATATGCTGAATGGTTTTAATTGGTTTTAGTTACTTATTTTAGAAGTGCTGAAAATTATTTTTATATTATTTTTATAGCTACTGTTCACACAAACTGCTTCAAGATCTTGCTTTAGGAAATAGTATACAAATACTATAAATTAAAATAATAATAATAATAAATAAAGACTTTGGCATGGGATCAAGACATAATGCATTTGCTTCAGCAGGAAGCCCCAGTAAAAACAGTAGCTAATGTTCCCCATGTAAACAGTGGAGTTGTTCTAAATCTCCTTACTAAGCATGCAGTCCTTCTGCCCACGAGCCTGCCAACAGAATCTTCTGGTCTTGTCTTTGCAAATCTGAAGTTGCTACAAAATTTGTCCACACATTCTGTAAATAAAGCTGCTGCAAAGTTTTACAGTACCTGTGCATAGTCTCTAGACAGAGGCCCTGGTAAGTCTCCAGGGAAGAGCAGGTCTCTAAGACAGAGCAGGTCCAAAAGCCAAAGAGTCTAGTGGCACCATTAAGACTCCCAAGCTGTGTCTAGCATGAGCTTCCGCGGACTTCCGTCCACTTCGTCGGATGCAAAGCTAACACTGCTGCTGGCGGAAGGGCAGGATGCCTATTACCCTGCGCTACATTTCCTGTATGAGCGCTCAGGAGGAAATCAGGAACTTTACGGTGTGGTTGGGCCATCGGTTGGCCTTTTATGACCAGCTTGTAGTCAGCTGATACAGCATCTCCCAGCATAGAGGCTTAAGCAATGGGGCAAGATTTACCAGGTTAAATATTTGCCTGTCCTACCGAAGCGCGTGAACCCTGCCAGGAAAGGGGAAAAAAACAACTGCAGCCGTATCTCCAGCCGCACAGATCTGAAGGAGCAGAATCCTATGGAACCCGAAAGCTCACGACGTGAACCCTGCCAGGAAAGGGGAAAAAAAACTGCAGCCGTATCTACGGTTCTACTGAAGGAGCAGAATCCTATGGAACCTGAAAGCTCACGACCCCAACGCCCCTGGGAATCCTTTCCCGACGGCGTGACTGACAGAGAGTACCATACCTGTCGCCCAGGTTTCCACGATGTGGCTTAGAAGGAAAGAAACGACTTCTGATTCATAAAAGGGGTTGATAAGAGACGCAGAGGAGAGAGAAAAGAGCCGTGGGAGGTGGTGGTGGACAGGACCCAACTCAAATCGTACCTGAATTTCTGTCCTGCGGGCACCGTGATTTTATTGAACCTGTCCATGCGCTCCCCTGCCGATCGCCTCCGAGTCAAAAGGACGCCTGCAGCTTCCTAGTTCCCTAGAGAGGAAGTGTGGGGAAGGCGGGCAGTTGATCTGAGAGAGAGAGACTGAAAGAGAGAGGATGGAATTCCCTCAGGATTGTCGAGCCAGCCCTCCTCTGCTCCTCCACCCGACCCGCCCGCCCGCCTGCTTTCTTTCCTCCGCCGGGGAAAAGCCGCCACACACGATCCGCGGGGCAAAAGAGGCGAGCCCGCCGCGTGTGCCTGAGGAGAAGCGAAGCAAAACTTGCCCGAGCGCCCGGGCAGGTTTCATGTTTCGGGTCTGTCATGTGACGAGAGCCAGCTTGGCTGGTAAGAGGGCGTTTGCACGAACTTGGAGAAGAAGGAGAAGGAGAAGACCCACGCACACCTCTGGGGCGTGTGAGGCACCCCCGTCAGCGGCTGGAGTCCTTTCTCTGTGGGTTTTCCTCACGCGGCCTCGGGCGTTTTCCCTCTGACTGGAATGCGGGTTGGGAAGACTTGCCTTGCCTTTCTCCCGCCTGGCTGACACCTTGGTGTCTGTCAGGAAGAGGCGGCTTGGCAGGCTGCCTACGACTGGGCTTGCCCACTCAGTGCGAAGAGGGTGCTTTCTGTTCCTCTATGCTCCACTGTTTAGTATGGGCCATCAAGTCGCACTGACTTGTGACTGCCCTAGTAGGGTTTTTAAGGTAATGTGAGATATGTAAAGAGTGGCGTTTACAGTGTTCCCCACCAGAGTTTTCATGGCCCCGACTTGTGACTGCCCTAGTAGGGTTTTTAAGGTAATGTGAGATATGTAAAGAGTGGCGTTTACAGTGTTCCCCACTAGTTTTCATGGCGGAGCAGGGATTTGAACCCAGACCTCCTGAGTTCTAGTCCATTGCTCTATCCACTACAACACACTGGCTGTCACTCAGTACTCGAGGAGTGTGCAGCTGTCTATAAATCTACACCAGCCAAAACTCCTGAGTAACCCAAGGTTAAGAACCAGTGCACTACATCACACTGGCTGTCATTCAGTACTCAAGGAGTGTGCACCTGTCTATTTATAAATCTACACCAACTTCCTTCCAGTGAGCTCAAGGTGGCATACGTGGCTCTTCCCCCCCACCCCGATTTTATCTTCACAACAACCCTGTGAGGCAGGCCAGGAAGAGAGCTTGTGACTGGATGAGGCTCCCCTGGTGTGTTTCATGCCCAACTGCAGGTTTCCCAATACTGTACTTAGTTGAATACTCTAATCACTGCATGGCATCAATGGAGGCAAGGACATGGGAAGGGATCTTACCTTCTACCAATTCTGACCAAATAGAATTGGGGCAACAATGCTGGTCTTGACCGGGCTTTGGTCTGTGCCAACAATTTGCTGGATGAGGCTCCCCTGGTGTGTTTCATGCCCAACTGCAGGTTTCCCAATACTGTACTTAGTTGAATACTCTAATCACTGCATGGCATCAATGGAGGCAAGGACATGGGAAGGGATCTTACCTTCTACCAATTCTGACCAAATAGAATTGGGGCAACAATGCTGGTCTTGACCGGGCTTTGGTCTGTGCCAACAAGGTGCTTCTTGATTTCCTTCTCGAGAGTGGAAGTGATCCAGGCAATGGCAGGGGGATGAGGACCCTGCTTTAGATCCCTTAGGTTCATCTCATGTCTAGGTGTCTCCCTGGCATGGTTCAAGTGGGCCTTAATTGTCTTGAAACGTTCATCTATTCCCACCATAACAGGCACATTACATGTAACAGACAGGTACAATCTGTTAACAGCTGCAAATAGATTGTTAATTGGTATGTTCATATAGCCGCTCATATGTAATGTTCAAGGTGTGTGCTCTGCATGCTTGTACAGTGATTCACATGTAATGGGTTGTCATCATACAGCAATTTGTGTTGTTCACAAAGTGCTTTGAACACATGCATACTGTATATAAGTTCAAACAATGGTTGTCCGCACGTTCTGAAAGCTATGAGAATCTCTCTGACCATGACTTGTTCTTGCACTTCACCTTTTCTTAGTATTCCTGTAAAGGCAACCAAGCTCCCTTTCTAAAGGGTTGCACTTTTGCTTCCCTAGAAAAGCTATTTTAAAGGGACATTATGGGACTGACACGCGAATTCTGTATGCAGACATCGCTTCCTGCCAATTTACTGTACAAGGAAGGCGGGTCTCAGGCCTAAGACTGCAGCATGTTGCAGCAGGGAAACAACTGGCTGGAAGGAAGAGGGGGGTACCATATAAGTTCATATGTGTTTGTGTGTATGTATTCTGAGTGTCTGTATTGTATCATCATTTCCTTCAGAAGAGTTTCCACGATGTGTATAAAACCTAAAAGCACAGTATAATTTAAACATGCATAGGGTAAGAATGAGTAACAGACTCTTTAGATTTTGCAATCTTTGTTCCTGTTTAATGAGCAATAACAGACTTTACAAAGGAACTAGAAAAGAATACCAAGACTGAGCCTGCCATTCAGAAAAACTGGTTGTCAAGAAAGGGCAGTGGATTCTTAGTTTGTTGTTTAGTCGTTAAGTTGTGTCTGACTCTTTGTGACCCCATGGACCAGAGCACGCCAGGCCCTCCTGTCTTCCACTGCCTCCCAGAGTTGGGTCAAATTCATGTTGGTAGTTTCTGTGACACTGTCCAACTATCTCGTCCTCTGTCGTCCCCTTCACCTCTTGCCTTCACACTTTCCCAACATCATGGTCTTTTCTAGGGAGTCTTCTCTTCTCATGAGATGGCCAAAGTACAGTAGTGCCTCGCTTTACGATGTTAATTCATTCCACCGAAATCGCAGTAGAGCGAAAACATCGTAAAGCGAAATAAGAAAGCCCATTGAAATGCATTGAAAACCTTTCAATGTGTTTCAGTGGGCTGAAAACTCACCATCCAGTGAAGATCCTCCATAGGGTGGCCATTTTCGGTGCCTGTAAAGCGAGGAATCCGTCCCTAAGCACAGCGGGAGGGCATTTTCTTCAGCCGATGGCCATTTTGAAACCCGACGATCAGCTGTTTTTGATCGTTGTAAAGCGAAAATCGGTTCCTGAAGCAGGGAACCGATCATCGCAATGCGGAAAAACCCCATTCAGACCATTGTTTTGCAATCGCAAAAAACTCACTATCAAGCGGATTCGTCGTTAAACCGGGTAATCGTAAAGCAGGGCACAACTGTACTGGAGCCTCAGCTTCAGGATCTGTCCTTCCAGTGAGCACTCAGGGTTGAGTCTTAGTTACCCTTTATTATTCTCGTTGTTATTATCAAAGCACGTTCTTGCTTACTGGTTCTACTTCTACTGCCAGGGTTAGGAAGTGGTTTCCTGCTTCAGATGCCAAAATAATGCAGCTGGCTCAGGGCTTTTGATTTGTGTAGATGGGTGAAGGCCCATCTACATCTGAAGACCCATAGATTATCCAGCCCTGATCCAGGGGGTACAATTTCTAATATTTGCATCAGTAGAAGAAATACATTATGTAGAGATGCTTTCACTGGGCTATAGGAGAGCTTTATGTGCACACATGCCTTGTGCTACAGGTGGTGCAAGGACATGGAAGAAAGCAGCATTTTCTTTTCAGGTCAGATCTACATTCATGATTCAGTTAGTAACTGTTCAAGCGACAGTTAATTTCCCTTGAGAATGCTACTTCCCAAAGTTACACTTAATACTTCTACTTTTTACATGTTTAACCATTATTATTATGATCGTACTTTTGCTTGCTCACAGTGAGAGTACGTTTCATTGTTGCTTTCTTGATTAACATGGAGACCTATCGTTGGTGTCCCGGGCTATTTGGATCTTGGTGGATGTCTCTAGACCAAAATGTTGGTCACAGATTAGGCTATGAGTAGTTCATGAGATGTGAAATTTTGGTGAGGAGCTGTCCTTATTTAATCCAATGGTTCAGGTCAAAATCAGTCAGTGTGCTCCTCCACAATATACCTTTAATAGTTATATCCTATTTGTGCAGCTTTAAAAAAAAATCTTCTGAAAGGGGTAAAAAAAGAAACAGGAAAAAAAACTTGAAAAGCATTTCTGATTGCCCCACTAAGTATTATGGGTAAAGAAATATATAGTGCAGTGCTATACATTTTTGTGTAGAAGCTAAATTCCATTGACTTCAACAGGGCTTACTCCAGTGTAAGTAGAAATAGGATTGCTCTGGAAACAAAGTTTCCATTTTTATTTGTTCAGAAAGTAATACTAAGTTGAAAAAGCTTTTCTTAGAAAATGGCTTAGCACAGATGTGTTCTCCCCTGATTAGTGCCGCTCCAAGAACATGTAATTTAAGTGATTTAAGATTTCCATTATGAGAAACATAGTAGCAGAGGAATCAGGTTTACTTTGTTGCATAAAACCCATCAGCATTTTGTTTTTCTATTTCTGTATGTACAAGTTGTGCCACTTTTTTTTTAAGGAAA